ACAGAGCCAAGCTGCGCTTGAAGCGTCGCTTGCACTTGTTGGTGTATATATTCGTCGTTCAGTGTTCGTCTCATCTTCATATAAATCGATTTCCAAATTCCCACTTTAATTGATTTAAAACAAGAGAATGTCAGACAGAGTCTGCACAAAACTCGTTAATGTGAATTGGATAGGACTGGAAGCTTGAAATAAATTCTAAATTTTAGGATTATTCATTAAGTTTGGCAAATGCCACTTTTGTTGTTTACGAGCACTGGCGGATCAAAATCTCGAGTTATGAGAGTAAGATCCGACAGCTCAGATAGAAATTGTATCAAAATTTTAATATGATTATAATTATTATTTTTGATCGGCTGATTCCCAACTCAACCCAATTTTGAGTGGATCCGGCCCGGAGGATCAAAATCTCATGTAATGAGATGAAGATCCGACGGGCGGATGAAATTTAATTATTTATCTTTAACAATGAGTTCGTATGCTGATTCCCGCCTCTATTAATTGGCGAGAGGGGATCCGGCAGGCGGACCAATTTCTCGAGTAATGAGATATGGGTCCGACTGGATGTATAAAAGTAAATCAAATTAAATTGATTAATTTTAATTATTTTGCTGATTCCAGCCTTTCAAATTTGCCAAAAGGGATCCGGCTCCGGAGGACCAAAATCTCAGGTAATGAGATGAAGGTCCGACGGGGCGGATGGGAGAAATATCAAAATTGCAATAATTAATATCTTATTGAAATGCTGATTCCCGCCTCTATTAATTAGCAAGAGCGGATCCGGCCACCGGAGGACCAAAATCTCGTGTAATGAGATGAAGGTCCGACGGGGCGGAAGACAGAAAAATGTAAATGATATTAATAATATCTTATCGAAATGCTGATTCCCGCCTCTATTAATAAGCAAGAGCGGATCCGGCCACCGGAGGACCAAAATCTCGTGTAATGAGATGAAGGTCCGACGGGGCGGAAGACAGAAAAATGTAAATGATATTAATAATATCTTATCGAAATGCTGATTCCCGCCTCTATTAATAAGCAAGAGCGGATCCGGCCACCGGAGGACCAAAATCTCGTGTAATGAGATGAAGGTCCGACGGGGCGGAAGACAGAAAAATGTAAATGATATTAATAATATCTTATCGAAATGCTGATTCCCGCCTCTATTAATAAGCAAGAGCGGATCCGGCCACCGGAGGACCAAAATCTCGTGTAATGAGATGAAGGTCCGACGGGGCGGAAGACAGAAAAATGTAAATGATATTAATAATATCTTATCGAAATGCTGATTCCCGCCTCTATTAATAAGCAAGAGCGGATCCGGCCACCGGAGGACCAAAATCTCGTGTAATGAGATGAAGGTCCGACGGGGCGGAAGACAGAAAAATGTAAATGATATTAATAATATCTTATCGAAATGCTGATTCCCGCCTCTATTAATAAGCAAGAGCGGATCCGGCCACCGGAGGACCAAAATCTCGTGTAATGAGATGAAGGTCCGACGGGGCGGAAGACAGAAAAATGTAAATGATATTAATAATATCTTATCGAAATGCTGATTCCCGCCTCTATTAATAAGCAAGAGCGGATCCGGCCACCGGAGGACCAAAATCTCGTGTAATGCCTCTAATTCAATGGGAGTTTTAATGTTAATTACTTTAATTACCTGTTAAATTTCAGGTAGGAATGCAAATTACTCCCGTTTAAATATTATTGATTATTAATTTCTCTGGTAAAAACTGTAGCTTTTAGGGCATTAAACAAGAGACTAAATTATTTATTTAGTTAGCCGGGATCCACTTATAATATAAATAAAATGCAGGAGAAAAGTTTAATTAATTCTGTTGAATTAATTATTATTGTTTTGTCAAATGAAATTAAATACACGTCATATTTATCAATAAAATCAAAATAGAGCAATAAGAGCAAAATAGATCAATGATCAAATGAGCAATTCGGATCGAGAGTTTTCAATCACATTTCTTACACATCGCCGCGGCTGCGGCGGAGAGAGAGAAGGAAAGCAGGGGCTGCTGCTGGAGTTGCCGTGCTGCTGCTTCGGGGCGGCCGGAGGGCCGCGCTGACGTCACAGCTACTCAGGGGCGCCTCGGAAGGCGCAGGGTTGCTCAGGGTGGCCGGTGGGGCGTTTGCGCGTCTATTTGAAGTAGACGAGGTGGGCAAACTTGGCAAAACCCCGCTCTCGCAGTGTCACAAGGAAAACCACCCGAAAACCTGTGACGAGAGCCGAAACCGAGCCGAAAAGTCTCTCAAACTCACAAATCAGGCTAATTAGAATTGTTCACTGGTTTCAGTTCAGAGATCGAGCCTGATAACTTGGAAATGCGCGCACAATCAATTTACAATGAAAAACAAATTACAGTGAGAAAAACTCCCGAGCGAGGTGAACTCGGAAGCTGCTTGGAGCGAAGTGAAACTTCTTATTTTTAATACAAAATCTCTGCACAGAAAATGGTCAGCGAGCGAGGCTAGTTTATATTACATTTGATTGGTCGGTCCTCAGGAGGGTGGGTTTTACCTCCTTTGGGCCTACGTGCAGTTTGCGCTTTTCTTTCTCACGCGCTTCCTGCTTAAAATTCAGGTACACGAAAAACATCTTCAGAGAAATACATTCTTTCTTATATTATTTACGGATGGTTGTAAAAGAGAAATCTGGCGACGGCCAGACCGCGAACATCTGCACAAACGCACTCTTTTCTTTCTTCTTCTTCTGCGTGTGGTCAGGGCAGATTATAAGGGTGAGCGCTGGGCGCGCTCTATTGTTCAGCGTCTCTCTCAGGTACCTGCTCCTGCAGGTACTCGGCCGTGCGGTCGTCCCATCTCTCAGCGTTTCTCCTCTCTCATCTCTCATTATCCTTAATGCTCATATATTGACCATTGCTCTTAATTAAATTATAGACGTGTGAATTAAATAGTTGAATTTATATTGATGATTGCTCTTTAATTAGTCTGTTTAATTATTTTATATGAGAATTATGATCTTTTAATCAGGTGAATATTTTAATTTAAATTTTTATAAGGTAGACAAGTAATGGTATATTACATCGTGTTATTTACTTCGGAGAGATTTTTACAAGTCGCGACTTATTGCCGTCGTATCTGCGTCGATTGATCGGCGAGAAATGAACTCTCGAAAGTTTCCAGATGCATTACTCTTTCATTACAAACGGACGCAGCGGATCAATTATATTGCCTGCGGTTTCGTCGAATGTCTGTCTGTTGACGCGCGAGAGTTAGAGCGGCAAAATAAAAAATAAAAAAAATGAGTGGCGAGTGTAAACGGGTTGGCCACATTTAGTAGAAGCTACTGTGGCGGAATCGTTAATCCCTTCTGTATAAATTTTCTCAAAGTCAGCCGAATGCCACGAGGCAGCCGTACAATGCGATTTTCGCACCAGATCTGCAACCGGCTGAACTTTCAAAAATTTCTGCGAGAAGCAGCAGAAGCCAGACAAAATGAACCACCCACGTGCACAAATTGAATAAATCTCGGAAGTTGACGAATGTTGAAAAGCGAAGACTGGCAAGTGCGCTTTAGAATTTTCGTGCAAAAATCAGAGTTCCCGTCTTGAATAATAAAAGTATGCGGTGGTAATGAAGCTCTCACGCGTCGAGGTTAAAAGTTAGGCAACGCGTTCGGCAATCGCAGTCGACGGGTTGCAGCACGTCATTGGCTTTCGCCATTAAATTGTTCAATTATAAAATTCTGCCACACTATTTTTCCCAAACAAAATTGACTGAGGTACAAAAAGATTGTATTTATTTTGTTTTGATACTTTTTTAAGTAAGATGAGAAAAGCGCCTGTCGATTTGACTGCGTGTGCATGTCTGTGAGTTTAGCAGTTCGTGATCGGTTTTCTCATTTTTCCGGCCAAAATAGCGGTACCACGGTATCATGCAAATGATGCATGTGTGCGCGGACAAAGAGTTCCATTTTATTGGCCATCGTCGCGTGACAATCAATTGCCCCCCGCCGCTTCCAATTTTATAGCTTTTGTGCTGCGTTTCGGATCTCGTTTTATAATATTATGGCAACTCATCCGCCGCGAGCAGCCATCGCGTGATGCAGTCTGGGAAAATGACACGGGAAAGCAAACGCATGGCCGCCTGAAAAGTGAAAATGCGCGCGAGATCACAGAAAGCTGCTCGGATTCTCGGCCATAAAGAGAGTTAAAAAGTTGCCTCGAATGAAAGAATTTAAGAGAAACAATGGGCGAAAATCTTGCCAAAGAAAGTGGATTTTTAACAATCGAAGAACTTTCAATCTCTTAGTTGCATTTAGAGATGTAAATTATCTTAACCGCGGCAACGATTGTAAAAGTACAGATTAATTGAATTTAGTTTTGCTGGACGTAAAAATTCCTTCTGTGAAAATCATGTAACTGAATTCCTGTTTTACGCGTCTCAGTGTTTTTGTCTGGCATAAAATCGTTGCTTTTTTTTAAAATTCAAGTCCTACACTGCGGTCAGTGTCACAATAGCCTCCCCTAGCCTATCTAATTTCCTGCTTTTTCCCACTTGCTTGCCAAACAACATTCAATTTAAAACTTTATCTTATCTGCAATTCGGCACATAAATTACTCTCTCAGTCAGCGCACCCTTGTTTGATCGTTAGTGCGTCCGTAGCCATGGCAATTTTGTGATATTATGGCTTAATGATACACCTATATAATATAACATGCGAGTGTTTCAAAGGAAAGAGAGAGAGGTGATTTTGTTCACCGCAAGAACAACTCCGACACCTGCCGTACATTTGTGAAGGTAAGCGAGTCATGAAATCGCAGCTCTAGACCGAAGCGTCCTCACTCGGCGAAAGAGAGCACTTTGTCGAATCACGATTTTGAAGAGCGGGGACGATTGTGGCGCTTCTCTGCTCTCCTACGCAAATTTTATATCCCCATCGTAAAAGATTTAATTTAAGCATCGAAGAAAGTGGGAAAAAAAGAGTTCCGGAATAATAAAAAATACCCTCGAGGGTGGCCTACCTTGTGTTCAAGCATTTTGGCATCTTTTCTCAGGGCGAATGGAGTGCCCGGGGGCAAGGTCTGTTTGCCAAGAACGCTTCTGCATTCAGTCACGCCAGGCCCAAGTTTTTCCTCGGCCTCGTTCAGCCACTGCTTGATGCCTCCAAGCTCAGTCTCTACGTCTGCAAGGAAACAGAACGTCAATTTTGCACTTGTTATTTAGGTGAAGCTCCAAGCTGCATTCTGGTCCACATTGAAACTGGTGTGGCAAGATGTAATGATATTTAACAATGCCACAATTACAGACCATATTTAGCCTTAAACTAAAAGGCAACTTTTATACATACACAGAAGTTTCTTTGCCCACAATAAAATACCTAAAATTAATTCATTTTTATTGCCATTGATAAAAATGCTATTTGTCTTCAATTTTTTAAGATTTCAGTAAAATTTATACCGGAGATAGGGCTGGAAGCTGCAATGGGCTGAAGACTGCTAAACTCACTGGAAGACGACTCTGCTGTGACATCCATTGGAGAATGCTGGCTATTGTTAGCAAGCAGCTCCTAGAAAAACAGCAACAATTGATTGGTGAAGAGTAATCACAAAGCATTATTTGGTTTTAAAAATATAATTACACAGAGAAATTCAAAATAAGATCTCACTTGACAGAGCAAACTATTACAACTGGCACTTAAGGATCTGTTTTAGATAATAAATACAAATTTTGATTAAAGTCTATGAAAAACAATTATCATCATAATGTTAAGGACTTAAAAAAACCTTTCTGACACTCTCTGATAAAGTCTTTGGTTTACATTTACAAACTGATTATTTTAAAGCGCTCGATACATAGTAAATTTTCATACATTTTATTTCACTTAGCATAATAATTAATAATTCACCTCTAGATATATAACTTTATTTTCTTATATTGGGCGTTAAATGCTTGCGAATAAAATGAGTTTTCAACGATTTTAAAATAATTATTCAAATAAGCAAATCAACCGAGAATTCTTCTCTTCAAAGTTTGTTGATCAATTTTAAATAAATTTCGTTTTGACTTTACACCATATTACCTGACAACAAGAATCAATGAGCTGACGACCCATCAGGTAGTTGTAGTTGGGCTGGATGGCCGCCCAGAACTCGTCCTTTGAGCCAACTGGACTGTCAAATCCGACATTTTCAGGCCATTGCCTCCTAAAATCAAATTCTCAATGATTATTTGCTCCAAAGAATTTTTTTAAATTCATACTTTGGTCTTTTGGTGAGGCTGTTGTAGAGTCGTGGGTTGTCCACTCTTTGTGCTGGGCTAGGACTGGTGTTGTGTCCTGAAGGGTGGTCCGGGTGAAGGGAAGACAGCGAGAAACACGCTTTCATATTGGTGTCTGCAAAATTACACAGAATGTAAATCTGGGACGGTTGAAAATCTCACAAAGAATATCATTGCTTTTGAACTTCAACTGAATATTTCAAATTTGAACAACAATCAGAAATTCAAAAGAAAGCAACAGTGAAGATTTTTTATTTATTTTTTTTCTTTCAATTGTTGCTTTCAGAAGCTTTTAAACCATAAATTTAACTTTAATTTGAAATTCACAATTTTAAATTTGAAATGGACTTTTATAATCTTGTTTTAAAGAATACAAATAAAAATTTGAATTATTCATTTTTTATTTTGATAAAATCAAACAGCAACAAAAATTGTTTAAACACGTTTATTTATTAAAAAGAAAGAAATTGTTTTATGAAAAAATAAAGAATAAACAAAAGAAGGAGATGCCAATCTGGAAAATATACTCTCCTGCCTTTCAATGCTTCAAATAAGCAAAGAATGAAGTTGAAATGACGAACTGCTGTCAAGTTGGGAAAAAAACAGTTTTTTATTGTTACCGGGCGTCCAAACTTTTGACGTGGGACAATAAAAGTTAATGAGAGAGCCAAGTCCGAAAGGCGTCGAGTGGGTTGTAAACATGCAGTAAAAAGAGCACTCACTGTTAGTCGAGGTCGACATGGTTTCGTGGAGTGGTCACGTTGGGACTTATTGTCGTCGTTTCTCGTAAAGGTTGCTGTGCCGCCGACACCATTGTTGCCTCCTTAGAAGAGCTGCCTGCAACATTCAAAAGAACACAATTAAAAACAAAAATAACTCAAAAATGCGAAGGAACTTTGACATTTTGGCACGCTGAGGGATTTCGGGACGCGTGATTAGCTTGCAAATGACAATGGCTCTGATGCCTTTGCCTCTCGTTTGATACCTTATCGAGATTTTTTTCGCCGTACAGATATACCATTGGCTAATTGACAACGCAGTCGCCAGATTATTGCCAAGAGCAGACGCGATGACGCAAGTTTGATAACATTCTTTAATTAACTGCTATTTATTTTTAGCAGTTAGCGAGCAGGCGGAGAATTGGTTTGTTTGATAGAAATTTTTTCAAGTGAAAGGCGCTCCAGGAGATTTCAATTTTCTCCTCCTACAACTCGCAGCTGGTATACCCAAACAAACTGAGCGATTATGCATATGTCTGAGGTTCAAAGTTGAAAGTTGAACAAACTCTTAGCCCTTGAAATATATCTGGCAGTCCGTTAATTTCTTCCGCGTGATCATTAGCGAGCACAAATTCATCAATTTTTCTCACATGCCACACTCGTTTTGCAGCCATCAAGTCTCACTCTGTCTGTGGATGGAAAAAAACAGGGTGCGGCGGCGGTTGAAGTGTGAGAAATTCCAGTCGATAATTAATTCGATTTTTGACAGGTCGCGTTCGGGCCCGCGGGCCGTTTTATAAATAAGTCCATAAGCTGGATCCTCGTACTAGAAAATAAACCGACTGAGTGAAAGAGAAAAAATAATAAAACAATGTTCCTAATGTATAATCCCGAAGCATGCACGTGCTTATCTACAAATCACCTGTGTCAGGATGAGTGAAAAAATGTGACAGCTCTTCGTGTAGAGTATCGCACCCACAGCTATTCAAAACAAAATCAAACGAACACCTCGAATAACTCGGAACGATTCTTGATCTTGAACGGAACTCTTAAATGAGGGAGCAATTAAAATGCGGTTTGTAAGCTTTGGTGTTCCGTTTCACAAACAGCTAAAAATAGAATTTAATTGTTTTTTTTCATATGTTAAATTTAATTCCAGATCTTTCAGCATTTTGAATTCAAATTTAAAGTAATCATTCAATTCTGATATTTTTAAATCTTTTTTTCAAAAAGGCACGTTTTTATTTTGATGATTTGGAATAGCATTAAAATTTATAGGAAAATATATTATTAAATTTGTAAAAGTTTTACTTTCAAAGATTTTAATATTCTTGTTTCCCTCATTGCCATGGTGCGCCTCGGCCTGTTGGTTTCCAGCGTGCCATGTGGATGCAGCTGAGGGTGCGAGTTTTTTCAGCCGCTCTTTCTCTTTAACTTCCTCCTCCTCCAAACACCCCTTGTTCTCATCATGTCATAATGCATAATTACCCGACAAACGCCACTGGGCGTAGTCCTCTTTCTCTCTCAACCGCTGCTCTCCCCGGAACCAAAAATAGCCAAGAAAAACCCCTTGCACGCACGAGATCATATTTAAGTCTCTCCGGAAAATGCCACAACCTTTCGAGGAAGAAAAATACACACGGCAGCAGATTATTGTTGTTTATTATTATTATTATTATTATTATTATTATTGTTGTTTATTCTACTCAAGTCATACATGAAAAAAAATTAAATTGGAAAAATGAGCAGAAAGGGTATCACAACTAGCAGAGGTCTGCTAAAACGCCCGACATCAAAAAGAGATCGGCCACCGCGTGAACCCACACTATCGAAAAAAAAAGAACAATCACGACACTTTAAAATTGCTGCCACAAATGCTGCTTGCAAAGGGAGAGAAAATTGCTGGTTGGGCAGTTTTTGAGGGTCGGTGGCAGGTCATTCCAGGGCTTGACGACCCTGAAGGAAAAAGCGCGCTGGCCGAACACACTTCGGACCGGGGGTGGCTGGAGGCGGGGATGCTGACTATTGTCGCCTCGCAGCACTCGGCCCTCGATGATTCGGGCGCGCGCGTCAAAATCAGTCTCGCCGCTCAGGCACTTTTTAAAAAAGAGAAGGTCGGTGTACCTGAGGTGCATTTCGAGGGGCATAACTCTCTGCTCGTTTGCCGGCGGAAGGGTGCGGCCGTGAATAAAGTGCAGCGCCCGTTTCTGCACTCTATCGAGCTTTTTAAAGTTAACCTGCGTCGTCGGGTGCCATGCAGGGAGTCCGTAGGTCATTCCTGGCTTTACGAGAGAGAGGTACGCGATTCTTTTAACTCGGGGGGTGCAGCCGCGCAGGTTGCGGGCCACGAAGCCGAGGGTTTGCGCCGCCTTTGCCCGAACGATATCTGTGTGGACCTGCCACCGAAGGTCGCTGGAAATATTGACGCCGAGCAATTTTTGCTGGTTGACGTACTCGAGGACGGTTTCGCCAAGGGTGTACATAAAATACAGGGGGACGCGCGCGTGAGAAATGTCGATCACTTTACACTTTTTCGCATTTAAACTCATCCCGTTGTTTGCACACCAAATGTCCACATTACACAAATCATCTTGCAATTGGTCGGCGTCTTCTTGGCAGGTGATTCTTTTGTAAATTGTTGCGTCGTCGGCGTACTGGACGATTTGGCTGTTTGCCACGCACTCGGGGAGGTCGGCCACAAAAATGTTGAACAAAAGGGGCCCCAAAACGCTACCCTGGATAACACCAGAGGAAACTTCACAGGGTTCGGATTTGCCTCCGTTGAACGTAACAAATTGGGAGCGACCGACTAGGAAACTTTTGAGCCACGACAGGAGGCGCCCTTTAATCCCGTAGTGGTCCAGTTTCGAGAGCAGGCGCGCGTGCGGGACTCGGTCGAAAGGAACTGAGGGAGTGGCTCGTGTTTGCGCACAGATTGGAATATTTGTGCTCAAACAGAGCAGAGCACCTTTTGTGTGTTTAGTTTGTCGCTGCAAAGAAACAATGCACTATACGAGAGAAGAGAGCAATAAATTATATCCTCGGGACCGACGAATGCGCTTTATTTAAAAATCATATCATTTGGAATAACACGTGTGCGGTTGGCTCCATTTATAAATATTTTATTTTAGATAAAGGGAAGAGAAAATAATGCAACTTTCATGCCAGATTCATGTTTTCAGATATATAACAACAATGCTCTTTGCTCTTTCTCTGGCCGATCTAGATCCCAATCAAGAGTCGGTTGCACATAAATTAAATTTGAGAGGTTGTTCTGACTAAGAGAATCGAGAAAATAAAATATCAGATGTTAGAAAGAAAGAAAGGAGGCAAAATGTAACAAAAGGTGTTTCCCAATCAGGTTAAAGTTTCTCTTTCAAAATATTTAAAATTTTGATTTGGAGTCTTTGGTCATATTTTTGAATCATTCTAAAATAGATTCTTCTAAATTTTAAAAACCATTTTAATACTCCATTGGAAATACTTTTGTTATTTACTTTGGAAGTTTTGCGGGTTGCTTAAATTTTTGAACTTTTTTATCATATTTATATTAATGCAGAAAATCTTTGAACTTATCGTGCCATTTTTTTGCATATAAACCAAAATCAAATCATTATTTGCTAATTACTTCCAAATAAAATATTTTCAAAAGCTCCTGAAATTAAAAAAATTCATGCAGTTTAATTATTCCATAACTTTTTTCATAAGGATAAATTAGAATACGTAGCCTGCAAATTTTCATTGAATGAATTTTTTAGATCCATACTGTTTTTGGACAAATTTTGCAGTTCTTCCGCTCTAAAAATCATTGAAATCAAGATATTTTCATTTGAAATTTTGAAATTTTCATTGTCCCATATAAAAAGATATTAAAACAACGTCCTCCGTATCAAATCTATTTATCTCTAATTAGCAAACTAGAACAAACGAGACTTATTTGTTGCGAGAGAGAAAAAAAGGCGCACTTAACTAATCGCATCAACGCGACGCAAAAAAACGAGAGGCAAAACACGTGGCGTTAAAAAAAAGTCGGTGCCGTGTGCTTTAATGCGAATTCCGCGTCCGTCTGTCCGTTTTCCGTGTGAGTGCGGTGCCAACTAATGCAAAAATAATTGCACTCGGCCACGTTGGTGTGCGAGTCGGCGGTAATTAGAGCCAACGAGAGCAAGGAGAGGATGAATCTTTGAGGTTCGCGACCGCGGTCGAATGGAAATCGACAGGTGTGTGACCGAGTGGGTGAAAGAAGAAAGAAGGAAAGATGAAGAGTTGCAGCGGAGAAAGAGTTAAATAAATAAATAATCTCGTTGACCAAAAACAGCAAATCCAGGACGGCGAGATTAAACAAGGCGGAGGAGAGTGCGTAGAAAGGGGCTATCCATTCATTGTTGTTCATTCTTTTGATACAAAATTCGAACGTTTAGAAAGCAGCAGCCTCCGTACGCGCGCACTCAACATGTTCTACTCCATTATTCTCGTCAAATTTTCTTTTTTAATTACTACCTCTCGAGCAGCGCGTGTCAAGCGACGATTCAATAATTCATGAGCGGAAAAATGGAGCAACACAATGAATGCCTCGGATCGCACGAAAAAAGATGATAATAATAATTGTTGCCGCGCGTAATCGATTTTCGTCCGCGTCCTTTTCACCTGCGCGAGAAAATCAACGGCTGAAGGCGTCAACACGCCACAGTAGCTCATTTGGAGATGAATAATTGGAATGCAAGCGCGAGCAGCGGCGTCCTTTCCAAAATTCCTACTTAATTGACGCAGGCGAAATTAATTTTTCAAAAACGTAATTATATTGTGTCGCGCCGAACATTCAAAAGCGGCAACTTTCTCGGAACTTTGGGATCGTTTCAAAAAGTAACAGAGAAAAAGGATAGGTTTATAATGATAGATCTCATGAAAAAACTAAAAAAATTTGATTTAAATTTTTTTTTAATAAAAATTATAAAATTATTAAAATTTAATTTTAATTTATATTATTTAAATTGATTATTTTTTATGCTGTTTATATTTTTTCACAGATTGTTTGATTCTCTTTTGGTGTATTTGAGCTCTGCTAAAACCTAAATCCATGTTTAATAAAAAAAAAATTGATGGTTAATACAAAAAGGT